CTGGCATTCTTGGCCCCCAGCTCTCATTCTCCTAAGCTGCCATCCCTCCCGTCTTGATGTGCTCTCCCACCCAGCACTGAAAAGGGCTAAGTGCTTGGAGAAGCTGTCTTCCGACATTCTCTGCCTTCAAAGCCACCCGGCCCTCCCTGCAAAGAACATGCTTTCTCAACGTTCTTCTTTACATTTGCCTACGTATTTTTACAGCCAAACAGTGCTTTCAAAGGCCTCCTTTTTCATCTCCTAATTAATTTTTATCTTCCAAGACGGAGAGAGGACAACACAGGAGACGTTGTTTGTGATGTCTGCTGCTCCTTGACAACTCTTCAAATGAAATTTCCTTTGGGAGGATGGGGCTGTGGGTGGGGGCGAGGGATGGAGAGCCCCCCAAGAGCCTGATGTCCCACTTTCTATTGCTGTTCTTTGGACAGAAGCGGGGTCCCCCCCTGTGGTCCACTCTCAACCAGGGGGGTTTGGGACTGTAAGCAGCCTAACCAGGAGCATGCTAACCACAGAAAAGAAGAGCATCTGCCCTGTACTTGGGATGGTCATGGCAGGCTGTCTGCTTGCTTCCTCCCTCCACACCATCTCCTGCATTTGTGCCACTTTGCTCCTGCCATCTTTTAATTCCATCCTTTCATTCAACAATGGCATCCACTCAACATGTATTATTTGAGCAACTACGATGTGCCAGGACTGTGCTGGGCTGGACATATGGGCAACTGACTAGCTTCATTTGTCCCGGACTGACTCCTCGGGACTGTGACTGGGTCCTCTGAGAAGCAGTTTGGATGTAGCGACAAAGACCATAGATAGACACTAGAGCCAGACTGCTTGGGTTCAAATCCCAGCTCTGCATTCCACTTGCTGTGTGAGGTTAGGCAAGTCAGTTAACCTCTCTGGTTAACTTCCATCAGTGTCAAATGGAGATGATGATAATAATCTACCTTACAGGATTGTATGAGGATGTTATAAGTAAAACAGGTTAAGTGCTTGGAACGATGCCTGTCACACAGTAAATACTCAATAAGAGTTACTGTCATTGTTGACTTGGCCAATGTCTCCTAGACATCCCATGGCTACTCCTGGAGTGTCCCCCCGTCAGCCCCAGTGCCAGTCTCACCATATACTCTCACAGGCAAGGGAGAGGACTGCTCCTCTAGAGTGGATGTGGGAGAGGCACTCTGTGTGCAGACAGAATATCTGACCCGGTACCTGGCTCCACCACTGATATGCTGTGTGATTGCGGGCAAGTTACCACCCCTCTGGGCCTCTGTTCCTCTAGGTTAAACTCAGGTCTCCTTCCGGTTCTAACTTCCAAACATTCTGTGATAATAAGGAGGCTACCACCCAGGGGAAAGGCAAGACCAGGAACCAGGAAGTCCAACTGTATGTGGGGGTGGGTTGCACGGCAGAGGACCATCAGGTAGGTATTGCGCTTCCAGCTCCTCACTGGGGGAGGGGGCTTAGAGTATCCACATCTAGACTCCGCTCCACCTACACTGCAGTCCCACCGCTGCTGCCAGAGACAGGGAGACTAGGCAAGAGAAGCTTCGCTTGAGTTAAGGCAGGAGACTATGTGGCCGGACACAAAGAGGAATTAATCGATTGTCAGGAGAGCATGGAAGTGGAGCTGGCTCTGCAGGGGGACGTGGAGCTGTTGTTTCTGGCCCACAGGTCCTTGTGAGCATGGGGCCGCATGCTCCCGTGTCCCAGCTGGGTGGCAGCATCTGTGTCTCTCCTCTGCCCTCCTCGCTGTGCTGTTGCAGGGATGGTAGGTGAGGGCGGAGTAGGCTGCGGGAGGTGCTGCTTGATGCTGAGGGCAGCGGCTCAGTGGGGAGCTGGGACCAGGCTCTTGGAAGCCAATCTGAGCATCTTAGCATGGAGGGAGGCAAGGGCATCCAATCAGCAGCAATGAGCCTGCACCAGGCTTATTTATGCCGTTTCTCTTTGATCGGGAGCCCTGCTTAGAGATGGGCTCATGTGTTATGCATGAGAGATGCTCCGGCGCAGTCAAAGGGCTGGGCTGCAGCCTGGGGACAGGCACGAGCAGGCAGGCAGGCAGGCATGCAGACACATATGGAGGCTAACACACATGCACAGGCACAAGCATGCACGGGTCTTACACACATAGATACATGCATGCATGCGTGGCCATTTCACACACACAGAGGCTAGTATACACACACACAGACATGCATGCATGGGCCATACACAAATACATACACAGACACATATGCATGCATGCATGGGCCATTACACACACAAAGACACATGTGCATGCATGGCCATTACACACACATACAGAGGCTAGTTTATACACACACAAAAATATGCATGCATGGGCCATTACATACACAAACACACACAGACACATATGCAAGCGTTACCGTTACACACACACAGGCTAGTAGACACACACACAGACATACACACATGCATGGGCCATTACACACACAGACACACACAGACACATATGTATGCATTGCTATCACACACACACAGGCTAGTAGACACACACACAGACATACACACATGCACGGGCCATTACACACACAGACACACACAGACACATATGCATGCATGCATGGTTATTACACACATGTACAGAAGCTAGTATACACATATACACAAACATACCTGCTTGCATGGCCATTGCACACACACAAACACAAACACGCAGCACTCCTAGCAGGCCAATATTAGAGCTCGAAGGAGACCTGAGTTTAACCTAGAGGAACAGAGGCCCAGAGGGGCTGGTGATTTGCCCGCGTTCACACAGCAGATCAGTGGTGGAGTCAGGTACCAGGTCAGATATTCTGTATGCTTGTGTTTGTGTGTGTGCAATGGCCATACAAGCATGTATGTTTGTGTGTTTGTGTATACTAGCCTCTGTCCATATGTGTAGTAGCCACGCATGCATTTGTGTATGTATTGTTGTTATTACTAATAGCCAAGAGACACATGCATACATGGCCATTACACATACACACAAAGGTTAGTATACACACAGAGAGAAATACATGCATGCATGGGCCATTACACACAAACACATGGGCTACTAAACACACACAAGTCCATCCCCCCTACACTAGGAACACCCATGCGGACATTCAAGCAGATACATACGTGTATTCATGTAGATGCTCTGGCACACATTTGTATGCATTCCCAGGCATACATCCATATACCCAGATCACAGAGATGCATCACACACATGCTCACCAGTACACACACACACAGATGCAGACACATGTCCAAGCGCAAATACACACATGCACCCAGCAGGCAGACCCTTGTGCATGGGCACATGTATGTACACACACATATACAAGCACACATTTCCACAAAGTACACACTGCCACATGTACATGTGTAGTCATGCATGTCTGCAGGTCCTCACATACTCTTTCATATTCATGATCACACACAGAGTCCCGCAGCACTCCTAGCAGGCCATTGACAATGCTGTTATCTTCCCCTCCCTCACTCTCAACACATGGACATGCCTTAGGTGGTCCTGGTGGTAGCAGCGACATCCAAGAGGAAAGCATCTTTCCTGTATCCTTTCCTTTCACTAAGAAGCTGCTTCCAGCCCCAAGGAGGGATCCTAGGGAGGCTGGGCTGGGGGTGGAGGGAGAGTGCAAGAGGGTTCCAGGGTCCTGGAGGTAAAATGCTTTCCCTCCCAGCCTCTTCCTTCTCTCTTCACTTGGGCCCCACCAGATCCTCCATCTATCAAGCTGAGACTTAGCCTCAAAGGAGGCAAGGGTTGGGGGACAGGGACCCGGAGCCCAGAGGAGAGAAAGACACTCAGGCTTCCAGACTGACTGAAAACAGCTGATTAACAAACAAATAAATGAACGGGCCCACAGTTGCAGAGTTCCCAAACCCTGGTGGTTTCTGATACATAATTAATTAAAGCAGTGATTCTCAAAGTATGGGCCTGGAACTTGTTAGAAATGTGCATTCTTGACCCCATCCCCGACCTACTGGATCAGAAATTCTGGGGATGGAGCCCACAAGCTGTGTCTCAACAAAGCCTCTAGGAGATTTGGATGCACATTCAAGTCTAAGAACCACTAGCCTGAAGTATGGGCTTGGAGGAAGGCAGGTCTGGGTCAGCATCTGGCTCCTCCAGTTGTGGGTCCTTGGACAAGCCACGCAACTGCTCTGAGCCTCAGTTTCCACACGTGTAAAATGAAAATAGAGTACCAACCTCACAGGATTTGTCAGGAAGATTAACCAAGGCCTAGCATTTAGCACAGCGCCTGGCCCACTGTGAGGTCTCAGTGGCGGAAGCTATTGTTGTTATTACTTCAATTTCTGGAAGAACATTTACAGTCACTGGCTTTTAGGGTCAGCCCGAGTCTTCTAAACCCTCAGCTACTCTGGTAGAAGGCGAGGAAACATTAGGGCACTGAGCCAACACTATATAAAACAGGAGGAAGGATAAAGTCATGGCCAGACACCCATTGCAGCAGTCACTTGAGAATGCGACAGGGACTGTATTTGAAGACACCAGCTTTGCTAGAGTATAACATGCTAAGTCATGCTTGTAAATTCTTGTTCAAATTTTAAGCCTCCTCCCCTCCTTGAGGATTTGGTCCCTACTGCCATCTCAGGCAGGCCTCATGGACATGGACAACACTGAGATCCAAAGCCTAGACCTGTCTGTGTCTGGGCTTTCTCCTCCCTGTCTTTTCTCCAGGCTCCTCTCTCCACCTGCCTTTCTCTGATGACTTAAGCAATCATAACACACTCACACCACTTGTCTCAGGTACAGAAACTTCTAGAATTTGGGCTGAGACCAACTCATATGGCTGACATCACCATAGCTCCCCAAAGTCAGCTGACCCTAACAGGGAGGGGCTGAGTCAGGGGGTTTCTGGCCCATTGGCTCTGTGTGGTGAGGAAAGGACAGAGACTCCCTTCCCTCTTCTGTAAAGTCAAGGGACCGGGAAACATCAGCTCATGGTGCTGCAAGAGGAGGGAGAGGGCCTCACCTTGAAGAAGGTCATGGTGGCCCCGTCCTTGACAGCCCCATACTCGATTTTGGTTTGCTTGGCCAGGTCATCGGCAGAGTCGATGGGTGATTCCATGCGCTCCACAGTCAGAAAGGCAGCCAGGTTGGCCGTGTAGGAGGAGATGATGATGAGTGTGAAGAACCACCAGATGCCACCAATGATGCGTGTGGACAGAGCTTTAGGCATCAGTTCAGATCCTGGGCAAAGGAAGCAGACGTGGTCCCTCACAACATCCAGACCAGGGCTGCTTGAGTCCCCTGGGTCATGGACTACGCTGACCCTCTAATAAAAGCCAAGACCCTTTCCCCAGACCAGCAGTTCTCAGAAGTGTGGCCCCTGTACCAGCAGACTCAGCATCCTGGAAACTTGTGAGAAATGCACATTCTTAGGCTCTACCCTAGAACCTACTGAATTGGTAATTTTGAAGGGCGGGACCCAGCAACATATGCTTTGAATATGCCCTCCAGGTGATCCCGACACAGACTGATATTTAAGAATCACTGCTCTAGAGCATCGCACACATCCATAACATCTCACAGGCTCTTCAGAACCTCTGATGCCTAACTGTGGACCACTTGTCCGAACCGTTGGGTTCTTGAGTGAATCCTGCTCCCAACTCTCTCTGTGATTGTATGCCAAACACTTAACCTTTCTGGGACTCTGCAAAACATGGAGAATTGTCATTTCTCTGTCCCAGCATCACATAAAACTATGATGCTGCAATGATATAATCTGAGAAAAAAATTGCGTTGGAAATCCAAGTGATATACAAATATAAGATTGTTATGTGGTGCTTCGCAGGAGGGAGAAAATCAACATTTTTTGAAGCTCTTTGCTGAAATAGATCACTCTTCTTCGCCGACCTTGGGTGTGGAGCACAATTTAGATGAAACCTTCCACCTGAAGTAATTAACTAGGTGGCTTTCAAGAGATTTAAATAGCAAGTGACTCCTGAACTTTCCAGAATATTTGGACCTACAATCTGAAAAGCGTCTGCTTTGATATGGATGATTTTTTTTCTCAAAGAAATCACTCAAGGGAGAGTTTTTCAAATACATAACTATTTTTCTCCCTCCTAATCAAAACCACGCAGAGAATACATCAGGGGCCGGTGCTTTGAATAGCAGCAGGAGGTGGGAGAGGAGAAGCTATTACTGCATTGAGGGGCGTCCAGGTCCTTCCCAACTGTCACCGAACAAAGATGATGGACAAAAAAGCAAGGTGAGGCTTCAGGACACTCACTAATAGCGGGAAACAGATTGAGGCACTTCCCTTGAAAGCTGCTTGTCACTTCCTAGCTGCTGGGGAACGCTGTGGCTGCTCTGCTTCTTCGCCCAGGCTGGTCATACCCCACCTTCCCAAGTTGCTCCAAGCTGGAGTTTGTGCTGCCCCAGAGGAAGAGTGGCTTATTTCAGTCGTGTGCTTGGTGAGCTCTGCCTGGCTTGTTGGACCCCTGCCTGGGCCCAAGTCCCTGTCCTCACCTCTGCCATGCTGAGAGGTCCCTCGCAGGTGGGACAAATTTACTTTTTTCTCTCCTCCTTTCTTCAAGTTCCCAGTACAGGGTTTGACATGTAGTGGCACTCAGAACACATTGGGATAGTACCATACATTCATTCATTTGGCATTTGCTGATGGACATTTCTTCAGAAGCAGGGTTTGTGCTGGGCCTTGAGGTTACACACAGATGAGTGAGGGATAAGGGAATCTTCTTTGTCCCTTGAAGCCAATTTCCTGCCCTCAGGGGGATGCTTGTACAGTCAGGGACTTTGGTTATCCCCATGCCCTGAGATAAGAGGTCTGGACATGGGACTCCATGGGCAGGAGCAATGAGCAGAGGGCCAGCAGGGCTGGGGGAGGGGAGTGGCATCCTCCCTGGGGGTCTTTCCTCTCCTGGTGCCTGCCCTCCGGCCCTTGGTATCCCTGTATCTCACTCCTTGTAGTGGGAGCAGGTGCTTTGCTTTCTGAGATATCCAAGGAGCTGCAGGTATTTCCAAAGGGTGGGGATGCCAGGGCAGGGTCAGGTGCAGCACACTGGGCCTCCCTCCTGAGAGAATTGTGTCCTTCTGTGTATGTCATCTCTGATGCACTCAGGCTAAAGTCACTGCCCCACCCATGACCCCTCCTACTCCTAGGCACCCCTCAGCCAGGTGGGCACCGAGTCCTGTCCATGCTACATCCTGAAGTTCTCTTAGTCCACCTCCATCCACTTCCCCTGGGACCACAACTCGCTTCAAGTCTCATCATCTCATTCCTGCAATGACCTCCCATCCAGCCTCTCTGCCTCTGGTCTTCCCTTATCCACAGCCCAACTTTGCTCAGTCGGATCCAGTGGTGATGAGGTCATAGGTGGGATCAACTCCAGTCAGCAGGATGCTTTACGACCATGTCAGCTGGAGCAAGAGGCGGTTGGGCATGCATCCTGCATGACATGGGCCAGGTGGTTTATCTGCTTGCACCTCAGACTCCGAGTTGGCTCTAGCCACAGTAGTGGTGAAGAGTGGGAGTCTGAGGCGAGGGCACACAGCTGGGTAACCTGGGTGTCTCTAGCCTTCTGATGGTTCAGCAGGGTCTGAGGCTGCCCCCGGAGGGAGGGCTGTCTCCTCTAACACCACAGTGGATGAAGACCTCTTAGAGAGAGAAGACCCCAGAAGAAGGCCCTGAGGGGTCACATACCTTGCTGCATCAGGGACCCCATTCCGAACCAGAAGCTATTAAGCAGAGTGAAGTTATTTTCCACCACCTCGGAGCCAGGGTTGCACGGGTGAGCATCATACCACTCGTAAGGGCTGAACCTGCAGTGGGAAGAGGGGGCAATCAGGCCGCGCTGTGGGGACACCGGAATGCGGGGTATCCACACCATGGCAGGTGGTGGCTTAGCAAACAGGGATGTGCCAGCCACTTCAGCGGCATACTCTCATCATTCTGCCGGGAACCAGGGAATGGGAACTCAGGGTCATTTTTCTTCTTGTTCTTTACTGTTAGTGCCTTTTCTGGTTATAAAAGTAATGCAGCAGCATCTCTTAAAATTAAAAGTGCACATGCCCTTCAACCTAGCAATTCTCATTATTCAACCTGGAAAAAATGCTCTTATATGAGCATAAAGAAATGTGATAAACACAAGAGTGTTTATCAAAGTGTTGTTTGTAATAGTGGAAAACTGGAAACAACCTAAATGTCCTTCCATAGCAGGATGGTCAGCTAAATGAGGCAACAACCATCCTTTGAAATATTATGTGGCAGTTAAAAGAGAATGAGATAATTCTAGATGTACCAGCAGGGAAAGATCTCCAACACACATTGTTTGGCTAAAAAGAAACAGCAGTAAAAAAATAAGAACAATATGAGCACATTTATATAAATAGATTCCTGAAGACATAACCATATAGTTCTTTATGTATATTCATATGCAAATGTATCCAAAAGGGTCTGGAAGGATCCACATATTAAAAATATCAGCTTTTACCTCTGGGGAGGGGAGTCAGAATAGTACAAGGAACTTCAGGAAGGCCTGTTGCTTTATATGCGCTATATAAATTTTAAAAAATGAGAACATGCTTTTGAATTTTTGCTATAATAAAAAAACCTTAAGACAGAAAAAAGTGGAAGACACTATAAAATATTCAAACAGTATAGAAGAATGCAATTTAAAAGTGAAAGTACTCTAGCATCCTACACCCTGGGGAGAACAATGCATTATATAATTTTTCAGATTTTTGTCTTTGAATATACAAATACGTATATGACAGGAAAAATTGTTATTTAAAGCCCCCTACTGCCTTCTAAGGAAGAAGAGTCCTGATTACTGAAGGGAATCTTTGTTTATTGCCTGAGTTCCAGTCGAGGGCATCTAAGTTTAAAGAAGCCCCTGGAGAAGGCCCCTGGCTGGGCACTGGGCTTGAGGGGGGAGGCGTTAGGATGCTGGGCTCAGAAGCATGGGGAAGAGACAAGTCCAGTGGAATTCGTTTTGTTTAAAAATGTGATGCCCTTTAAGAGCGATGTTGTGATGTCCTTTTTCCATCTCCATTCCAGAAGCTTTGATACATTATACATTGATCACCAATGCTCATGTGGGAAGAATTTAGTTTTCATGAAGTGGGAAGATCCCTCAAATAGGAAATTCCAAAGTGAAAGCTTCAAATCAAGATGAGGATTTTCAAAGTAAAGGACTGTGAACTGGTTAGAGACTCTAAAATCCACAAGGAAGAAGTCTGGGATCAAGAGGGCAGAGATGAGAGATTGTTGTGAGAAGGGCTTTATGAAAAACCTTTGGAGAGCTGGGCATCCAGAAAACTCCTTCCCCACCAGTCGAGGGAGGGGCTTCCTGGGGGGGCTGGGGCACTCCACGAGTGGCCCTGTAATTGAGTGGAGGTGCTGGGGGAGCCTGGAGGGAAGGGGTTGGGCCAATGGGTGCTCCATAGGTAGAGGCAGGCGTGTACCTGCTGCATGGTATTGGCCCGCAGGCCCAGGGTCCATCTGGACCTGGGTCTGCAGGGCCCATGCAGAAGGGAGATCCAGTCCCGGCCTGCCTTGACTCCACCCTAGAAAGGCAATGGGATTCCCCAAAGAGAGGCCACAGGGCACAGCAGAAGGACCAGAGGCTCCATGGGAAGAGGGTCCTGCCAGAGGGGCCATGGGGAGGGCACCTACCTCTGCACACCCTGAAGGGTGGGGTGGGAGACAAAATAAAGATGACTTCTGAAGAGATCTTGTGCGTACTGCTCTTTCAATGTATCAGTTACACACAAATACATAATATACATATGATGTCTTTTAAACACCAAAATTACCATACTGCATCATGATCATACCCTAGACCTTGGTTTTCCACCTGGTGTCACCAACCTCTTTCAGGCCAGCTCTTCTGGGTCTACATCATACCCACTTTGTAGGTATTTTTAACCATTCCTCTACCGAAGAGCACTTCAGTTGTCCCATTTCCCACTGTTGTACACTCTGCTGGAAGGAGCATCCTTGGACACACCTCTGTGGGGACTAGAGCTTTGCTGAAAAGGCTTTCTAGGCTTGGGAGCACTCTAAAGTGTGGCTCCATGGTGATGTTTCCATAGGATGAGTTCCCAGAGATGCAGTTGCTTATCATGATAAAGATAACTGGTTCTAGAATGGCCTCTTGGTTAGCAAGTGCTGTTATAAGCTGGGGTCTTCACCGCCTTCTGAGAGGCAATAGTATGCTAGGTGCCTGTTTTACAGATGGGGAGGCCACTGGGATCCTGCAGTCAGCGGGACAAAGAGTCTAACCCTGAAGCCACAGGAGAGAAGAGGAGAGGGAGGGTCACTGGATGAGGAAGAAAGGCATCACTTGGAATTAATGGTGGATCTTGGATTTTCAGCTTGCGTCTGAAAGGGCTTCTCTTGAGTGACAAGTAGGAGCTGGAAATAGTCAACCTGGAGGCACTCCACAGAGATGACTACTCTCCAGCCCAGCCATAGAGGTGTAGTCAGGGAAAGCCTTCTTTTCTCTGGGATAGTCATCTGCCAGATGTAGCCATGATGTGGCTCCCAGGGGCTGGGTGGACAGCTCACTCAGTGCTGCCTCCTGGGTCGGGCACTGAGGGTTATTGCATCATGAATGCCAACTATCCTGCTCTCTGGGGTGAGAAAGTGCCCTCTGCTCCTTCCCTGTTTCCTCCTACCTCACCAGGCACAGACAGAATATCCTAATGGCAAAAAAGGTCTTGCACAGTGCCTGGTGTCTGGGTGATAGACAGGCACAGACAAGGTCAGTTTGCAAGATGGATAGCGCTGTGCCAATCCAAGGCTGCCCAAGTGGGCCTGGGAACCTACTCCCACTTCACAGATCCTATCTGTGTTCAGATCTTCAGTGGCCAGCATGGAATAGTCCAAAGGGCACAGATCACAGGGGTAGGGGCCAGTGGGTCACAATACCCCACAGACATGATGTACTTGGCCCTGATCATGTTGTGAAAAATCAAATTAGTGACTACACAGAAAAATCATGAGATGTCACATAGAAATCTGAATCTCTTTCTGAAAATCATATGCTCTGCAGCACTGGTCTTGCGTCTCTGCTCATGCAGTCTGTGAGGGTTGAGCAGTGGCTACTCCCTTTAGCCAGCTGTGGGCTCTTCTGCTTGCTTCAGGCCTTACCCCTCCCTGTTGCCTATCACCAGGTCCCCCTTACTCTCTTAGGCTACTGTCCGGCCCTGGCAGGCAACTGTGTTTGACATAAAGTTGGCCAAGTCTGGGTGTGAAGCCCCACTTTGCCGAAGGACAGCTTTTTGACTCTAGGTAATGACTTAACCTCTCCGAGCCTCAGTTTCTGCTTCTGTAAATTGAGGATAATTATACTCACCTGACAGGACTGTTGTAAAGATGTGACCAGGCGGGTGCGAGTTGTGTTGTGTGGGTGCCATGCAAGGTGACAATTTACTATGATGTTCTTCCCGGCTCTGTGACCAAAACCCTTGTCCCTCCCTTCTCTTTGCAGGGTCTCCTACCATTCTAGCACCCCAGACTAACCTTGGGAATGGGGCTCCCACCTTTCTGGCCAGGAGGTGGAGTGGAGAGTGGGCTTGACTGCTGGCAGCTGGTGAAAGGCCATGAATGGGAGGGGGAAGGGCAAACGACAAATGGGCAGAGCTGATGCTGGAAATGCCTGAGGGGTTGGAGCCCAGAGGCCCCTGGAGCAGCTAAAATCACTGGGCAAGCAAGCTCTGGAAAGTGGCTCCTGACTTTCAAAGGCTTGTTAGACCACTAAAGACAAGAGATGTAATGAAGGCCTCTCTGCGGCAGGCCCCGCAGCCGCTGGGCCAACCACACAGGGCACCCATGGCAGCCCCAGGCCCCAGACACAGGGCTGGTGGGGGCAGGGCAATTCCATCTCTGCAGCCTTCCCTTTGGTCTCTCTCTGAGTGGGAGGAGGGAGCAGAAGGGACCAGAATAGGGAGAAACCTTTCAAAGAAGGCTCAGGAGAAAAAAAGGTTGAAAACACCAAGTTGTTGGATCTCAAATTGCCTCTCCAGAGAAGGCTCTCTTTGCAACTTTGTTAGAATTTAAAGAAGGAAACAGACCAACAAACAAACAAACAAAAAACAGGCCCGGGGATGAGGCTGGGGTTGGGGCTGGAGCCTGGAGGGAGGGGGCAGAAGGCACTGCCTAGAAGGGAGTAGGAGAGCTAGGTCCAGGAGCTACCAGCTTGGGGCAGGGGCAGACCACTGGCCAGAAGAGTGGGTTGAAGATAAAAGGCTTGGCAACCCAAGCTCAGATGCTTCATGTTCACCAACTGCTGTATCACCTCCACAAGCAGTAAGACTTTCTGAGCCTCGGGTGTCTCCTTTTCAAGGGAGGACTAAATAAGATAATGAGAACTAAATAAGATAATGGCGGTCAGGTACAGAGCACAGTGCCTGGCAAACACTAGGCACTCTCTAAACCTGCCCCTGTGACCTCCTTCTACCACCCACCAACAGGGGTGTACTGTGTCTATTTCATGTGAGCAACCAATGTGCAAGCATGATGCTAGCATCTATCTAGACAGGTAGGTGTGTTTGGGTGCCATGTTCCTACATGTGGGGATGTGCGTGTTTATGAGTGCTGTTCTCTCTGCTGTTGTGGGTTACACAGATACACCCTGTTTCCAAGTCCTAAGCCACCCACTGGGCCACCCAATGCACTGGGCCTGCTGCATCAGGTGCCTGGCCCAGGTGGTACAGCTTTGGGTAATGACCTGACCTCTCCACACCTGCTGATGGGACCCAGATGCAACTTGGCCTCTCCATACCTGCTGAGAGGACCTGGTTGCAACTTGGTCTCTCCATGCCTGCTGATGAGACCTGGGTACAATTGCTGCATCTCAGAGTCATGGACACAGAGCAGGGCAAGGGCCAGGTGATTCAAGCCTGGAGGACCATAGAATGGTCTCGGGGGATACAGGGGGATCTGAGTCTCAGGGAGGGAGAAAGGAGCAGGCACAACAGTGGCCTGAGCTCTGGGCCTTCTGTGCCAGAGGTTGAGGATGTGGGAACATGCCTGGCTCCCTTGGGCCTGAGCTTCTGGCTAAGGAACTGCCTTACCTGGCGATGACAAAGAGGACACAGCTGACACCCAGGTAGGCGAGGAGCACATACATCCAGATGTCTGGGGACAAGGGATTGAGGAAGGAGAAGACACTGGGGTTGGTGCCGTTGGGCTTGCGATACAGGATGCTCACGCCCAGCGTCATGAAGGGCTTGGAGAAGTCGATGGCCTTCTCTCGGACATGGGTGATGGTCAGGGGAGCCACAGCCAGGTCTGCCTTCTGCAACAAGAGACAGACAGGCAGAAAGACTATGAGCAAAGCCTAAGGCCAACAGGAAACAGAACATCTTGTTTGGAGGACAGATGAAGGCGGAGTCAGTTGTCTGAGCTGCAGGTCACTTAACCGCTCTGCAGTTTCAACACCTACTGACCCTCCTTCTGGGTCAGGCTGTGCCGGGGCGACAGGGAGACAATGATGAATTAGACTTAACCTTTGCTCTCCAAGAACCCATGGCCTTGAGGAAGAAGACGTGGTATAAACATGTAGAGAATGGAACCCTGTTAAGGCTCTCTCAAAATGGTGATCCTCTCTCAAAATGGTGCTTTGTCAAATAAACACAGTTCAGCAACCTACAAACATTTAAACATAGCCCGTGTTCTTTATGTGTCTCTCAAACACCAGGAAGAGGACACAGAATCCACCACATCCCTTCTTTAAATCTGCCTTCTTCTCCTGTCCACTTCTTAACTGCTCCACCACATTCTGGATTTTCTATATATCCTATAAGTCTTCCAAAAACTAGTTGGACAAAAATAATGCTCTCCTTGGAGGGTAAGGGCAGGCAAGAAACAAAACAGGCAGATCCAGGGCCTTCACTGACAGAGGGGGCACGGAGGGGAAGGGGAAGACTACAAATGCTCATATGTTAATAAATTGGAGCCCACCACAATTTTAATGAAGGGAATAATTAAAGTTCTATTTCTTTGGCTTGAGCTTTTCCTGATTAACAATTGAAACTCCTTCCTGCCCATCCCATCTCTCCAGCCTTACCCACTGGCCTGCTCCTATACAAGGCCCCATCAAACCCTTCTTTACCACCAAGCTTCCCACACCTGTGCCCTGTTTAGAACGCCCCCTCCCTGCATCTAATTCTTGTTCACTCTAGCTCTGCTCCATGGTGAGGCTCTGCTGGCTGTGCTTGGATGGCCGTCTGTGCCCCACGTGACTTGAGTCTGGTCTGCTTATTTGCCTGTAAGTTCCTGAGTGTGACTGGGGCTGTGGCGGATCCCCTGCTTCCTTCCTCCATCCCCAAACCCCATCTCAGCCTCTGGAATATTTGTTAGTTAATAATGTTCCCTTCTGAGAGGCTGCCCCTTGGGCTCTGGTGGCTATTTACACCACAGAGTATGAACGAATAATCAACCACTTCCCTTCCTCAGGTGGGCAGGACAGAAGAGGAGCTGGGTCCTAAAGGCTAGCGCTAAAGACCCTTTGCTGGTGGAGACCTACTTCTGAAATCCCCTCCCCAGGCAATGCCTCTAGGTAGCTACCCATTGGTGTGGTCCAGTTTCATCCATTGTTTTATGAAATGCAACAGGCACTAGGGATACAGATCTGACCCAAACAGACACAGTTTTTGCCCCCATGGAGCTGACAGTCTATAGGGGAGATGAACAGCAATCAAAGGGTAGCTGCCAACACCAGCTCTATCTTGCTGTCTTAGAAAAGGAACTAGCAACCCAGTCTAACTCATACCTCAAGGGGGAAAAGGCTAGCATGTGGGGGTTGCAGATTCTGGACAGCTCTGCAGGTGCCCAGGCCGGGAAGAGCTGGGAAACAAAGCTTTGATGTTTCCACCTGATGTTTGATGCCTACCCGATGTTTCTCCTTCTAACGGCAGCCCCCATGCCCGATCATGGGCACTTGGAGTCCAAGGAGTCGGTGGACTTCAGAGCCCAGGAAAAGCAGGGAGGAGGAGCTTGTTGTAAAGGGTTATTATGGTAGTACCTTCCTTTTGTAAGTTTCTGAATGTGTGAGTTGGAGTATGCCTGACTGAAGGCAGAGGAAGGAGGAACAGGGCAGCTGCTGCTGCCTCAGCTCCCAGAGCCCTCTCAGTTCAGGGTGTGTACACAGGGAAAAAACAAATCAAGTGAGAACTATCAGGGCAGGTGCGGAGTGGTGAGCACAAGACCTAGGCCCTGCTGTCACAGAGCTTCTAGCAGAGTGAGCCTCTGCTGGGGGCAGCAGAGAGCATTCCTGGGTGGAGCAGAAGCCTGGGTGAGACACCCTGGAAGGTCCCTTTCAGTCCTGAAGTCCCAGGATCTCTATAGTGTTGATGTGACAGGAATGTAGAGGGCCTCTGATTCTAGAATTTGGCCTCTCTCGGTCCTGTCCCTTCTACAGTCACATGCTACATAACAATGTTTTGGTCAACAAGGGCTGCATGGACTATTATACTTATGTATAATCTGAATATGATCTGCATTTTTACTGTGCCTTTTCTACACTTAGATACATAAATACTTAGCACTGTGTTACAACTGTCTGCAGAGTTCAGGACATGCTATACAGGTGTGTAGCCTAGGGGCAATAGGCTCTATGATACAGCCTAGGTGTGCCACCTAGGTGTGTGTAAGTACCCTCCAAAATGTTCAGATGATGAAATCATCTGATGACATTTCTCAGAACGTATTCCTGGCATTAAGCGACACTTGATGGTACATTGCTTTGGGAGGCTCTGTTCTGACTCCAAAATCATTATCATTGCTCAGAATGTATTTGGAACTAGTTTCTGGGAATGGTCTCTGAGGCTTGGAGCGGATTCTCGGGAAGTACCTCAAAGTTAACAGTGCTGACTCTTCCTTGACTTTTGATGGCAAGTTGGATGAGACAGTTATGGCTTGGAGATCAAGGTGTTTCAGTCGATGCTTATTACACCAAAAGATTCCCAGGGACTGGTGAAGAAGTCACCCACAAGGCCACAGGTCCGTTCCCTTCCCTGACACCCTCTCGGAGACTTCAAAATTTCCCCGCCACTCTTCTTGCTCTAACAGGGTTGGAAGGTGGAGGCATTTGTGGCATTCTGTGCCCAGGGCAGTAAGACAACAGATCTTCACTAGGCATTTGGATATGTGTCTCCCCTGGGCTTCAGGAAGAAGGCTGGAGTTCTCCACTTCATCTTTGGTCTAGGCAGGAAATACTACATTTCACCGTTGGTTACAATTTCCCTGAAAAAAGCATTATTTTGTCCAACTTCCCTTGAAAGATCGGAACAGATGTCAAGCCTTTGCTGTTTCAGTTCATTACTCAGAATGAAAGGCCCAATCTTGGCAGGCTCTTCCCACTTGTGCAAGTTTTCTTTGAGGATGATTCATCAAATCATAGGCTGTCAGAGCTGGATGAGAGACCTTCAATTCTACTTGAGAGAACACATCTATTCCAACCCCACACTTTTTTTAATAGGAGGAAACTGAGGCTGGAAGAAGCTCCTTGGTCTTTGCAGTAACTGTATTTACAGTAACCATGTCCTTGAATGACACCAAACCTGTCCAACACCTTCACTGGTTTTCTGGTTGATTTGTTGGCAATTCTGCTTCACCGAGGAACTTTCTGTACATTTTCTGAACCTCTGGGCAGGCAGGATGACCCTCCTAGACATTCCTTCACCCCCATAAGCAGCTTTTCCCTTACCGAGAATCTGTCAGGATCTACCTGGCTCCAGCCTCTCTCAGTCTCCTCTGTCCTGGCATGAGGCCACCTGGCCCCACCTGATCTACCACATCCCCAGCTCCAGCACTGAAGGGAAGGATGCGCTCACTAGCTCCATCTCCCTAATTTGGGCCTGGGTCTCCAGACACCACGCCTTGCACCCCAGAGTGAAACCTGGACAACTGCTACCAGGTTCTAGGAATGCAGCTGGGACTGTGGTCCCAGTTCTGGCAATTTGTCACTGAACAGCCTTCTCTTGGGACAGGGGTCCTCCCCAGGGTCTAAGATCTAGCCCCTGACTCCCTGCTTGTGCCCTGTTGGCAGCTGCCTACTTGGATCCAAGTGTGGTCTCCCTGGATTCCTCACCTCTATGCTCTACCTGTTAGTTAGCATCCCCAGGGCATCTGCCTGCCCAGACTGTGATCTGCTATGTTTAAGATAGTAAGAACCACTATCATTAATGGATGCTTCTTACACACCAAGCATCTGAGGGTTCTACATATATTGCCCCATGTGAGCCTCCCAGGAGCCCCATGAGGTAGTAAACATTATCCCCCTATTCCACATGAGGATAGGGTAGCTGAATTTCAGGATAGTAAGTATGTTTAAACTGTTGAGTGACTGAGCTGGTACTTAGGCCCAATTCATTGTGACCTAAAAGCCTATCACTTTACCACTCTACCATCCAAGTCTCATGTAGTGGGTTGAATTGTGCCCCCTCCTCCAGCCCAATTATGTTCAAATCCTAACTCCTTGAACCTGTGAATGTCACCCTATTTGGAAATAAGGTCTTTACAGATGAAATCAAGTTAAGATGAAGTCATAGTGAATTAGGGTGTGAGCCCTAAATCAGGTGACTAGTGTCCTTATAGAAAGAGGAGACGAGACACAGATAACACACAGAGAAAAAGGCCATCGGACAATGCAGGCAGAGGTTGGGGTCATGCAGACACAAGCCGAGGAGCACCAGAGACTGCCAGCCACACCAGAAACAAGAGGAAACAGACTCTCCTTCAAGAGCCTCTGAAAGAAACCAACCCCGCTTCTGATTTCTGGTCTTCAGAACTATGAGGGAATGTTGTTTTCAGTCACATGGTTTGAGGTCATTTGTTGTGGCAGGCCCAGGAAATTAACATGTCTGCCACTTAGACCCTATGCAGGATTCACAGAGCCCCTTCCACGTCTTGCTGCTGGCCCCACCCCAGCACCTGTTCCATTCTCATGAGCAGACCCTATGGCCAGGACCACCATGCCTTGCCCTGAGTCCAGTGTTGCCTTCCTGGAGACCTAAACTTGACCCTGGCTCTTGACCACGGAGCTTCCTGGCAAATATTTCACATTGCCTGGTTAGGGAGCCCTGAGGCTGCAGAAAGCTGCTGGCACACCCCTTCCTTCCCCCACATCCCCAAATCAGTCTCATTGCAGGGCTCACATGTAGGACCCGCATGTGGGACTCGCCCCAGGCTCTGTCTGCTGGCTCCCCGCCCACATCTTCCAGTATGTGGCATCATGGAATTCACCTTCCATTCTTTTCCCAAAGTGCTATTTCTCCAGTGTTAATTAAAGTAGGT